CTCTTCATTTTTTGATGACTAGAGAAATGTGCAGAGATAATCCCTGTCACAAGCTTGAAAAGGAAAAACAGGGAGTTGGTGCGGCTGAGAGAGAACGCCGCGAGCCGCCATGCGGACCCGCCCGGAGTCACAGGCGGCTGTTTACGGGGAGGCGGTCAAGCAGAGGGGCGTGCAGGGACCCCACCTCTGGCACCTATAAATCCTGTGTCCTGGGGAGCAGCGTCCCCTCTCTCTGCCTCAGTTTCCTCAGATGTCAAGGGGGATGATAGCAGTGCCTAGCATAGAGGATTGTGAGGATTAAATAGCTAATACATGTAAGCGCATTCAGATCCATCTGGCACCAAAAGCTCAGCAGATGTCAGCGATCACGGTTACAAAACTCAAGAGAGAGAACCGAGCCATAGGGTCCGGTGGGATACGGAGGATGTCTTCCGCCCTTCCTCCTCCTCTGCCTTCCCTCACCCCACTTTGCTTCCTTCCCCTCCACCCCGCCCCCCATTTTCTCTTCCTCCCAGCTTCAGAATTGTCAGTGAAAGCCTTTAGAAGGGGCCACGCTCTTGGTATACTTTTCAGCTAACGTGACTCTCTCCAGCAGCCGCGGGCTTTAGGACAACAGAAAGCTTTTTTCCTAAGAAATGGTTTAACTTTGGGACAAATGGGGGGGTCTCTGTGCGGGAAGACGGAGTGGGCTCGGTGATGAATGGGGACCGCTGGGCCAGGGATCTAATGGGTGATGTCATCACGCTCTTGGAGGGAAGTGGACTGTGAAGAGCGCACTTGTCTTCCTTCACCGACCCTCGGTTTCAGGGGCTACACGCGGTGCGGGTGACACTCACGAACGCCCATGGAAGTCACAGCCCAGGAGCACGGCCCCCCTCGGGCCCACGTGCCTCGGGTGTTTCTCCCCAGACTCCCCGCTCTGCGCCCTCCTCCGCGAGGCCCCGCTGACCTCAAAGGGCCTTTCTTGCCAGGCCATGAAGCACATCTGACCAGAGGGCCGGGATCACAGCCAAATCTGAAGGAAGGTGCAAACTGTGTGACTAAAAAAAGCCTGAGCACGTGGCGCTGCGAATAGCAGATACCCGTGGTCTATAAATACCACGGCCAGGGCAGGGGGAGAGGGGCAGGGGGAGAGGATCAGCATAGTAAGTTGTTGTCCGGCCCTTGAGGTCAGTCTCGCCGTTTCTAATGCTGAACCCCAAAGACACAGACACTTCACCAAAGGGGCCCCTGGATAAAATGAACGCCACCTGGGCTCACTTATTTTATCAGGATGTTTTTCGGTTTGGCAGTAAGCATTTTTAAACGGGATTTCTTTTATTCAGAATGCATTGGAAAACTTGTATAATTTTCAAACAAGCTAATGAGAGCAAAACAAAAAGCAAGAAACAATCCCCATACAAGGGTTGTGCTTTTCTGAGGATGGGCTAAGGCTGCGACGCTACAGAAACGGGAAGATTTAGGGGTCTTGCCGAAAAGGTTTTCCTTTTCCCTTAAATAACCCACCATCACGGGGGGCGGGGGGGGGGGCCGGGGGGGGCGAATGGACGGGCCTAACACAGAAGGAATGAGGAGAAAAGGAAGTCAGGAACTTGGGAAAGTTTTCTTTTTCTTTCCTCCCTTTCTGTTTTTGGCTTTGTTTTTTCCCTTGTCTTGAAACCAAAAGGGATTTGAGTTCTGATCCAGAACTCCCAAGACCAGAGGGTCAGGGAAGGCCACCCAGAGGCTGGGAGCTGCGATCTTATCGCTGGTCCCCGCCCTCCCCCTCCCTCCCCTGGAGCCTTGAGCAAACACAACTGCTGGCCGAGGTTTCGCTCCTTCTCTTTCGTGTGGGGATATGGACTTTGGGGGTGTCTTTTGCTGTTATTTTCTTTAGAGAAACAGAGACATGGTGTGCTCTTCTCACAAACCCTGTCCCTGGCACAGGGCGACCACAGCTAAGTAAAGAACAAGATGAGACGCTCAGGCACAGGGGACCACGGGCCTGCGCCAGGAGCTAGACCACATTTCCTGTCCACCATCCCTTCTTCCCACGCCTCCTCCATCCCCACCACACTTTGTGGTCACATGTGTGCTCCTCAGTGTGCCTTCTAATCTCCCAGGAAGAGTAGCCCATTGACTCAGGGCCAGGCCCCTGAGAAGGGAGTGAGCTTGTCCTCTCTCCTCGCCAGGACCTTTCTGTCTCTGTCTTGGCCAGAGCCGGCTGAGCCAGGGAGACCAAGATGTTCATTGTTAACGTGTGTATTGTTTATGGTGTGATCATTGTCTATCTGCTTTGAATGTCATTTTCAAGATGAGCATGATGCCCCGAGTGGGACGGCACTGCTGCAGCATCGGGGCTGCCAGGGAAGCACCTGCGAGGCCCGGGCTCTGGCCGCTGGGGCAGGCAGGCCTGCGCGGCGAGAGGGAGTGCCCCGTACTTTTGCGGGAGAACCTCAAATCTGAACTCGGGACTTTACATTTTCTCCAAAGTAGTTGGAGGATTTGAGCTCATTTTAGTCCATTCGTGGAATCTAATGTGATCTAGTTGATTAGAAATCGTGCTCTTCCTTAAAAATCATACCCCAGGCTGCTCAGGATTCTTTCATTAATGTCTTGGGTCACTTGTTTAACCATCAGTGGATTCACTTATGTTTCTAAGTACTCAGGCCAGGCCACAGTAACATAGTCTACAAAATACCACGAGAGACGACACCACCCGCCTCACTGAAATGAAGAAGCCTTAGATGGCGTGCACTCCCCCCAACAATGGCAGTCAGGTGGCTCCTTCCTGCAGGAAGAGGGGCAGATCTCCTAGTGATTGGTTCGTTGTGAGCCCATACTGGCTCCCAGTGACTCACAAGCCACCTAGCAGTCCCTTCTGGAATGTTCCTGGGGATCGAGGTTAAAGGTTTCCACCTTTTTAACCTACTCAGACATGGGCATATCTCCTATTTTTGTCCTCTGAAAATCCCCAGGAAAAAGAAGTGGCTTATTGGTCCCTTTATGCTTTCGTCTGTTTGTTTTTTAACATTTGAAGTCTTCATTAGCTTTGAGGTTGCGCTTAGTATCTCACTGGCTTAAGGCTCCAGTTCTATTAACTACTCTCCAGACTTCACGGAATTAACCGAGAGAAGAAGGAAATTCTCTGAGTCCCCTTTTGCTTTCTCTTCTCTGATGAGTTGAATCATCTTTTCTTGTTGCTTTCATAGTACTTTAGATTTTTGTGAGATGAGAAAAATGTATCTCAGTTTATAGCTTTACCTTTTAAGTGTAAAATTCTAACTATTGGTTATTGCAGCAGTGTGTTTTTTTAATAATCCATAGTGTCTGTGTGTCTGTGTGTGTGTGTGTGTGTGTGTGTGTACATGTTTTCAGTATTAAGCTGGCCTCTGTCTTTCATGCCTCCTGAGCACTTAAAGGTCATTTGTGCTACATGTGAGAGTATTGACAGGCTACCCAGGCTTGAAGCTTACTTTAAGGTGGAGAGTATTACTTGGGATTAAGTTGTTATCCTTGGAAGAAATAACAAGTCTCAAAATTTCAGTGCAAACAGCAAATCATGAGCTTTGTCACTATTACTTGGCAAGACCAGGTAAACCCCACATCAAGTTCAGGTGGGGTGGGCTCAGGAGGGGGAGACATTCAGGGCCAGGAGGGCAGGCTGGAGGCCCTGGGGCCCTGGGAGTCAGCAGGACACCACCAGAAGTCGGGGAGGAGAAAGGCAGCATTAACCAATTACTCCGTCCGTCAGCTGATAAATGTTTTGGGAGCACGTTGCATGCCTGGCACCATCCTATTTTCACTGAAAAAAGTGAAGGAAACACAAAGTGAGCTGAGACTAAGTGAGAGGCAAGAGCCCTTCACCCTCAGTCACAGCTGGGCCCGTCCATCTGCTTTTCTGTTCTGAACACACAACCCAACACTTGGCCAAAGGGATAGCGCAGACCACTCCTACATTGACACGTGATGTTGAATGCAGTAAGAAGACCCCGGAAGAGCCGATCTGTGGCCATTTAAAGAGGCTTGAGGTGAAAATGAGAGAGGAGGGAGGAGCGTTTCTGTGGGGGAAGTTGTAAGACCAGTGTTGGCCACCGAGCTGCTGAAAATGATGCGTTTTCTTTGCTTCCTTCCTTTGCTGCGTGACTTTGGGGACTTTTCGTGGGGGACTGCCGCCTTGGCAGCCTGACAGAAGCGCGATGGGGAGATGGGAACCCAGATCTGTCTAACATCCGAGGGCTCCTGTCGCCCGAAAACTCCGCTTTGGCCACGGGTTCAGGTTGCACACCCACTCCAGAACATCACAACCCGTGATTCCTGGGTTTTCGCTCCTTACACTCCGCTGTGGGAAAGGGCCCCCAGCATGGACAGGAAAGGGTCTGGAGGAGGAAGCAGTGTGACACACAGAAGAGCTGCTCACTGCCAGGCCAGTGGTGGCTTCGGATGGACGGCCGAGATCAGAAACGGTGTGGGTGCCTAGAAGCGAGGAAGCCATGACCGGGCGGCTGGGTGACTCCTGCCCTCCCTGTGGGCCCCCTCCGCGCAGCTTTGTGTGTGTCGCAGGGGCTGCTGTGGATGTAAGCCCAGCAACTTGTGTTTCAGTTCAGCACAGTCAGTCCTGGAGGAAGAAGGCTCCCCGTTGGCCACCCGCTCACGGTCTGGAAAGGCCACTCTGGGGGACCCTCCCACATCAGGCCAAGAATGAGAAGCACTGAGCTGCGCCTACCATCCCTGCAGCTTCCAGCCTGATTTAGGGGGACACAGGGCAGCTGCAGGGGAAGGGGTGCCTCCAGCCTGATTTAGGGGGACACAGGGCAGCCTGGAATGGAAGGGGTGCCTCCAGCCTGATTTAGGGGGACACAGGGCAGCCTGGAGTGGAAGGGGTGCCTCCAGCCTGATTTAGGGGGACACAGGGCAGCCTGGAGTGGAAGGGGTGCCTCCAGCCTGATTTAGGGGGACACAGGGCAGCCTGGAATGGAAGGGGTGCCTCCAGCCTGATTTAGGGGGACACAGGGCAGCCTGGAGTGGAAGGGGTGCCTCCAGCCTGATTTAGGGGGACATGGGGAGGCCTGCAGGGGAAGGGGCTTGGCAGGCGGAAGCTGCTGTCACATGGTCGGGTATCCGTGGGAGCTATGCAGGCTGCAACAGAACTTGGAAGGCCTAGGAAGGCGTGGGTGCTTTCCACACAGGTCAAAGGGCAGGCGGAGCTGGGCTCACGTGTGGACTTAAGACCCATTTGAGGCAGCCGGCTTTCAGGTGGGTCTTGTCCTGTCACCCCCAGGCTGGTCTCTCAGAAGCAGTGCGTGCATAGGATCTTTGCTTTCCCAACTGCTTCACTTTCCTTAAAGGCAGATGCTCTTCCAGCTCAGGCTAATGGAGAGAAGACGAGTGAGGACTGGTGCACCCTGTGATCGTTTCTCAGTACCGGGTCCGGTTCCCCCCTCCGCACCCCTCCCCAGTGGCGGAAACCTGTCAGGACTGTGGCACTGAACTTTGGGGGTGCCGTCTAAGAAGCACTTGGGTTGGCAGGGTTGTTTCAGCATCGGAGGTCTCCACACCTCTCTCTCTGAGATTCTGCCCCCCGACGCTGCCTGCTTCAGCGCCCTCCGCATCCTCACTACCAGGCCTCCACTGCCATCCCCAGCCACGCCTGCCCTCCCAGGAGACCTCCAGACCCGGGCCTTTCTTTCCACCTTGGCACCTGTGTGCCTGTGCCCCACCCATGGCATGGAAAGAATCAGATGAAGTAATTTATGCCGAGGTGTCAGTAGCTGGGTACTATTCTGTGATCATTCTGTGACTGGGATAATTCTCTCAAGGGTATGTTCATTTTCAATGGAAACCATGATTCATCCAGGTGAATACATTTCTAACAGCACAATTTCTGTTCCGTGTCCGCTGGTATGGACATTTTGGGGGCCCATGGAGTCTTCCCCCAGTCCCTCAGGTCATACCCTGGGGGAATTCCTCATCCAGCTCCCCAGATGTTCCTTGTAAAGTTATAGCATTCAATCATTTTGTCTTAGGAGACATTTATCTTCACACCTTTGCCAAAATTCATTGAAATCGGTGAAAATAAAAAAGGGGGGGTTTTTAGCTGCCACTTTATTTCAGGTTGTTAAACCAGCCTCCATTTGAACTGAAGATACCTCTGACATCCTTACGTATAGAATTCTCAAACTTCGGGAAACATCTGTTAACCGAAATTATGAAGTAACGCCAGGTGGATGAGTTGATACAGACAGATACCTTAGTTGACAAAAGGAAATGAGTTCTGAGATTCTCCATGAAGGCCAACCAGTTTCCAAGTGGAAAACCTGGTTTCTGCCCTCGAAGTTTTGTTATCAGTTTGTCATTGAGAAGCAAGGAGTGATGGGGACATCGTTCTTGTGAAGATGCCAGTTCATTATGCAAGCATTATATATTGTTACAAAGCAATGGATACTGCGTAAGCATTTCTAGAAATCAATGTTGGACTTAGATTTCCAGCTGTGTGACTCCATGCTATCCTTTTCTTAGATGTAGATGCCTCGTGATAAGTACTAAATCTCTAAGTCTACTTAGCACCTAGCAAAGTGTGTTGTGTAAAGCAGGCAGTTAATAAGTGCATATTTAATGAGCCAGTATAGTTTTGGTTTTGCTATGTTTTCCTTAGGATGTAGGGGTTAAGCCGAGGGAAGCTGTCTCTTAGAAGCTCTTAGATGTGAATATTGATATCAAAGTAACTGTGCTTGCATAAACAAACAAGCACATTCAACGGCTTTGGTGAACAGGTAGATAGGTATATGTAGATATAGCTCCAGAGCCCACCTGTATGCAAGGTGCTGAGCAGTGGGCAGGGAGGAAGTGCGAGACGCTGTTACTTCAGTCTCCCTTGCCTGCTTGGATCCTAGACTTACACTGGTACAGTGACCTGCTAAGGAGGCCAGGAAAGCGGTTGCCCTGCTGAGGATACTAGTATTTCCGAAGGCCACTCGCTGGAATGTAACACCTGGGCCTGGAATCTAAAGTGAGGCCCCGCACCCCCTCCCCCCCCTCCGAGAGAGATCATCCGCATTTTCTACTTGGGGGGAATTCCCTTAACTGGAAGTGGATGGTTTCAGATACCCATGACCATGGAAAGAATCAGATGAAGTAATTTATGCAGAGGTGTCAGTAGCTGGGTACTATTCTGTGATCATTCTGTGACTGGGATAATTCTCTCAAGGGTATGTTCATTTTCATTGGGAAACTGGATTCATCCAAGTGAATACATTTCTAACAGCACAATTTCTGTTCTGTGTCAGCTGGTATGGACATTTTGGAGGCCAAGGGAGTCTTCCCTCAGCCCCTCAGGCCATGCTCTGGGGAAATTCCTCATCCAGCTCCCCAGATGTTCCTTTTAAAGTTATAGCATTCAGTCAGTTTGTCTTAGGAGACATTTATCTTCAGACCTTTGCCAAAATTCATTAAAGTAAGTGAAAATAAAACCCCACTTCCAAACCCCACTTCCTCTTTCGAATTGAGTAGGCTCATAACCATTCTCAAGGCTTTGAAAGGGTGAGGGAGAGAAAGGGAGAAACATCAATAGGCTGACTCCTGCACACCCCCTACTGGGGATGGAGCCTGCAACCCAGGCATGTGCCCTGACCAGGAATCGAACCGGCGACCTCTTGGTGCATGGGTCAACACTCAACCACTGAGCCACACCAGCCTGGCTATAATAATAGTTTTGACTTGTGGACCAACCAACGTACAGCATACCCATAACATATTCCCTAACATCTAGAAATTTACCATCTAAGGCCCAAAAGAAATACTAATAATTCTGGTTTAACAGTGCTTCCTGCAAGAATCCTAAAAGTCTAGATTCTTAGAAGCCAGAATACAGTCATCAGCCACTTGGTTCTATCTCCTCTCTTAGCACCCACCCTGGAGCACTGCTTCAGTGATTTTCATTCCATGAGAAGCAGCCCTGTGAAATGTTTCACCAGAATCGTGGCAGTGATGTGGATGCACTGTTCCCTTTTATAATGATCCGTGGGAGAAATGCCCAATGCTATCGTCAAAGCTCTGCTTCTCCTCAGAACCTGGTATGATGTTGTCTTAGGGCCACTGTAAATCTTGTACCTGTCCTTTCTGGTCTGCTTCAGCCTCCAGGAAGACAAGAGCTGAAAATCCGACTTTTATTTATTTACTATGCAGGGCCCAATGGCATTATTTCTACATGAGGTTTTCCCTGGAATTATCTTAGTCCTTGGATCTTGGTTTTCTTTTGCTCCGATTTATTTTTTTAATCTGTTTTGTTGTGTACGTTTCTGAATATGTTTTATTGTCTATTGAATCTCCAGTGGGCATGAATGAGTAAATGAGAAAGAAAGAACTGTGATCCAGCTTGGAGAGCTCGTTAGAGGACCTGGACTGTGCAGACCAAGTAGGCTTAGCTGGCTAAGGTTTCATGAATGAAATGGATCTTAAGTGGAGATTAGGAGGAAAGGAAGTGGGTGGTTGGAGACGGGTGTTTTCTGTGAGAGATTGGCGAGGACAGAGATGCAGCTGTGGAGTGAGTGAGTGATGCCCTGAGGGCAGTAAGGAGCCGGCCCGACTCTTGTACGATCTGATTGCCTCCTTGTGTTTTTATTGGATTGAAGAGGCCGCCGAGCAGAAGAGTTGTGGAGAAGGGGACTGCAGTTTCCTGGCCTGGAAGGATTCTCACTTCAGTTTCTATAATAGACGAGAAGGTAGAGAGTTAAAGACTGTGAGGCCAATCAGGAGAAGACGCTGATGGAGTATATATGGGCATGGAAAGGCATAGCTAAAGTATGGAAGAAGCAGTTGAGGGTGTGAAGACTCAGTGAATTGCAGCCAGCTTTTGTAGCTGGTTCGAGTTTAATTTAATTCACTGTGTATTTACTTCACCAGGTCTGCTTTATTCATTGCTGTATACAGAGTCTGCCACAGTGGTAGCACATAGTAGGTGCTTCATAGATGTTGTGTTAAATGAATCAAATGGGCCCCTACCTCCAAGGAAAAAGAAGGTGGACAGCTCGGTAAATAAAGAGATAAGTGAAGTCCAGATAGGTTACTTTCAGAGGGTCTTCTAGACAAAGACACGCAGCGTTCCCAGCAGAAAGGCTGGAGCAGTGGTCATCGGGGAAGCCCACGGAGACAGCTACAGAGACAGACACACAGCCCCTGCTCTGCCTTTTAACCTCCTGGGCAGCACACAGTGGTCTTGCAGGGTGTGGGCCCTTGGACTGTGGCATTTTTAAGTCACCTGACTACGGAAGCATCGGCTCCTCCCAGGTGTGATCAGGAGCCAAGATACAATAGAAATATGTGTGGGAACCTTGGCTCCAGCCTGATGCTGCCAGCTTAGTGTTTGTGGTTGCAGGTAGCACCAGCCTCCCTCCTGACAGGATCGAGCACCTGAGCTCCAAGCCTTCCGGTTGAATGGAGTTGGTTCCCTTAAGCATTGGGTTAGAGCTCTTACACACAGCTTTGCAGGCAGCCATTTCCTGTCTGTAGAGGCCAGCTGACAGGGAGGTCAGTCTTGAGCCAATGAGTCCTTCATTCTTCTCTCACCCGCCTAATTGAAAGGGTGGCTTCTAAGCATGGTAATGGGGCCACTCTGCTAGTAGCCTGTTCCACTTCAACCTGCAAGACCTGTGAGGCTGGTCAGTGCCGTGGGGCACAGTGGAGGGGGGTTAGAAATGGCTGGGTGACCCCTCCAGGGTGCAGGTTATGTCACTCAAGGTAGATCGGTGAGGGCTGTTTGTGGTGTGCTGGTAAGTGTTCCCCAGCTGCTCTTGGGTGGTGGGGTTGGCGGGAGGGGAAGGAGTGATCTGTAGTATTTGCTGCTATCTGTGCTATACATACTCCCACATGGCTCATTTCCAGCTACCAGCATGACTGAGCCGACAGACACAGCAGTCCACCCTTGCACAGCATTTCCACCCTGCAGATACAACAGACGCAGTTCTCTTCAAGATCATACACAAGGGTAGTAAAATAATTATGAAGAGATAGGTTTTAAGGATTTATCACAATTATTTGCAATATAATTTGTTTCACTTTAAGTTGATATTTCATTTTTAATAGTGACTGTGTTTAATAAACAGCTCAAAAATTCCTGAAAATTTGCCAATCAGCTCACTCCCCTGAGCTGGTGAGAGCTGCCTCCAGCATATCACTGGGTCAGAACAACCTGGAAGGAAGTGCTTTGTCCTGCTGAGAACGGTGCCAGCACTGGCATCCGTGGTTCCAGTGCTCGGGCTGGGGGAAGTCTAACGAGGGCCTGCAGTCCTTCCCACGTCTCTCCCAGTGGCCAGGAAGCTGTCATTGGGAGGAAGAATGAATGGCCTACAGAGCTCCAGGCCCTGGTGTCCCTGGTTGACAGTCAGTTTCATCTGCAGGTACTGGATAGTGGAAATCCATGAGGTTTGCCAGGGGTCTGGAAGGCCCTGAGAGCCGCAGAGTGACGTCATTAGGAGACATTGAGAAGATCACCAGCTGTCCCCCTGCTATGCCCAGTACTAAGTGGGAAACCCAGGGGTACATTCACTGAGGACCCACCAAGAAATTCGAAACAGCCTGGATGACATTTTTCTTGGAGGGATTCAAGTGTATGACAGGCAATGTGCACAAATGAAGGAGAAATCAGTATAGCTCTGCAATGCATCAAAGAAGAGTGGAGAAAGGAAGGAGTCCTTGAATTGGGTCTTTGATGGTGATGTGCCCAGCCGGTGTGACTCAGTGGTTGAGCACATGCTAGTCAGGGCACATGCCTGGGTTGCAGGCTTGATCCCCAGTATGAGGCATGCAGGAGGCAGACGATCAGTAATTCTCTCCTCATCATTGATTATATATATATATATATATATATATATCCCTCTCCCTTCTTCTCTGAAATCAATAAAAAGAATTTTAAAAATAATGATGATGACTAGAGAAGACTGATCACTGAAGTGGGAGGGAAGAGATGAACGAATGGGGATTCCTGGCAGAGGAAGCAAGGTAGACAAAGGGAGGAGTATGAAAGAGCATTGGGTGTTTCACTGTTGTCCAGGTGACTCCTTGGGTACCTGGGTGGTTGGTTCCTATAGTCTGAATGTGCGTGCCCCCCAAAATGTGTATGTTGAAATCCCAGTCCCCAAGGCAATGGTATTAGGCGGTGGGCCTCGGGAGGTGATTAGGTCCTGAGGGTGGAGCCTCATAATTGGGATTCGTGCTCTTATAAGAGGCCCCGTAGTGCTCCCTAGCCCACAGGGCCATTAGAGATCATAGTGGAAGAGGATGCCAGGGACGTTTTCATGCCATGTTAAGGAGATCCGAGTTTTTTTCCTTCCAGTAACAGAAAGACCTTAGAATAGGCAAGGCACTGAAAGAATCAGGTTTATGTGTTGGAAAGAATTCCTAAAACACCCTTGGGCACCACTCCATTACCTGGGGATTATGGGTAAAATTTCCCAAGTCAGCACACAGGCCGCTGGTGACTGCTTGAGGCTTTCTCTTGCCTATTTCAACACCCAGGCCTTGTGACCTAACTTGTTCTTAAAGGGAATGTTTGCTCCCTGTAAACAGTAGTCTTCATATTTAAAGTTATTCTACTCCTTCCCAAAAGGTAAATTAGAAAAGCCATATACCTTTAGTGAATAGAGTTAAGCTTTCATCATTTAAGTAACTGTCCACTGTCCATTAGTGCTTTTTTGTTTTGTTTTGTTTATTAAATATATTTTATTGACTTTTTACAGAGAGGAAGGGAGAGGGATAGAGAGTTAGAAACATCAATGAGAGAGAAACATCGATCAGCTGCCTCCTGCACACCTCCTACTGGGGATGTGCCCGCAACTAAGGTACGTGCCCTTGACCGGAATCGAACCTGGGACTCTTCAGTCTGCAAGCCAACGTTCTATCCATTGAGCCAAATGGCTGGGGCTCCACCACCATTTTAAAGGCAATTTGATGCACTAAGTTGAGCCCCCAGAGCTCTTGATTCTTGCATCTTGAATTTAGCAGACCCACCTTCTGCCTATAGTTCTAGAATTTTCTTTGTTATCTTTAAGGAACATATTTCTGTATATCTGGATTGAGAATTTGGATGCTTTTTGAGATGAACCAGAAATCTTCTTTCTTTTGATGTTTCCCTTTCTTCTTCCCCATATCTATAACTCACTGTATTTACCACACAGTGGATAGATAGTCAGAGGTCTTCAACTGGTTTGTGTAATTGCTGGGACAACTCTTTACTCTTAATTACGTATTTCATTTTAATCTATTTGTGAGGACTGTTGTCCCAGGCATTTGAAAAGAATATCACTTCACTGCAAAAAGGATTTTAGGGACCTTGACCTAGTAATAGATATTTTTTCTAAGTGGTTCTAAAGCAATTGTCCCAAATAAGAAATCACAGTCCCGAACATATCACAGGTCTGTTACTTTCCCAAATCTCATTAAAGCATTAATGCAAATGGAATTTTCCTACTACTCCCCTGTCTTCTCTCATCTGGACAGGATTAATGTCATTAATTGCTAAAATCTAATCTGATTTATTATAACTTTGTCTTATATTAAAAATACATAAAGTGATTGCCCTCAGATGTCAAGTACTAAAGAATCTGCTACTATTTTAGTTGTGGGGGTTCTTATCTTTCCTATCTCTCATTCAGCTTTTTATTCGCCTCAAAACGTTTAATGAAAACTTATTGTGAGTCAGGGGTTGTTTTTAATAGGATTTATAGCTTAAAAATCTTCTGGTTTTGGTTTGAAAATTTGAAAACTATAAAAAGAAAAAGGGAAGGTAACAAAAAGTCTAAAAATAGTCTGGCATTTATTAACTGTTACCCAATTTCTTAAGCACACCAACTGGGTGGTCCATACAGTGTTCAGAGCTGAGAAAGACTCAACCACACGAGGCTTTGCTACCCTTACTCTGAGAGAGCTTCCAGTCTAGTCAGGAGAAAAGACTGACTATAAAATACAAGCAAAATAACAAGGTACCATAATCAGTTGCCAAATGTTGTGGTAGGGTGTGAATGACGGTGGAACCCAGAGAACTGAAAGGGGACGGGGTAGATAAGAGTTGGTCAGAGAGACTGCACGGAAGAGAAGGAATCTAAAATATCACAGAAGGGTTGGATTCAGAGACAAAAGGAAGCAACTTATTTCAGTAGAATAACGATAATAGAGGCTCAGAGCATGCACAGGGGTGGGAGTAGCAGAGCTTTGATGTTGATAGGAACTTACTACTAACTTTCTCCTAAGAATTCCGAGTTTTAAAGACATCCAACACCTCCATCTACTTTCAGGATTCTCTGGCACAGTAAAAGAAGCAAGTGTTTTTATTGTTTTACAATTAAGGTTATTTGACTTTCTCGGTTACAATTGGGGTGATTCTAACTACACTGGTAACCCAGAAGAGTTGAAAGAGTTAGCAGTTCAGGGTCAGAAGATGGAAATCTCTGCATTGCTTGGCAGGTGAACATGAGCAAATTGTTTACTCTCTGGGAGCCCTGGTTTTCTTACCTAGGAATGCAAATGAGAGCCTTATCTATCTTACTGGTTATCGTGGCTATTGAATTATACTGATAACTATGAAGGTTCTTTGTAAACTATTAAACAGTACAGATTTTTGTTAGTATTCTTGTTATCCACTAAACTACAGCTTTAGGTCATGGATTTAGGGTCTTTTCACTAAAAAGTTAAGTGTATTCAGCAACGTTTTTTATGCTCTAAGCAGCAATCATCAGACTGCCATGAAATTTATTTAGTAAGACTCAGCCAGTGTTTTTTAATTAAAATAGAATAAAACAGAAGAGGAGGACATATATTGTACTCTTCAGCATGGAAGATTGTGCCATTCATAGTAATTGTAGGCATTTAGTGACTCACAGAGACATAAGTGAGCTACTTAAAGGTCAGATGTAAAATATATTTGTGTTTGTGGGTTGTTGTCAAAGAAGATTGAAAGCCACTGGTTAATAACATAGCACTGTAAGTACAAAACATTCAGTCCTCATTTTTTGACCCCTCGAGTTAAACTAACCAAAAAGATATATTTCACTGATAAGCTATAACACTATGGAAAGAATGCAGATTATGAAGAAATGGGGCCTGGTACTACATAGTCTGCATTTTTTCCTTATGTCTGATGCTGACACTCAAATTCTATCTTCACTCCTATGAACCAGTATAGAAAGTAAAGTGTTTGTTTCCATTAAAATCTACATGGCTAGACCTCATCGTACCCTACTTTTTCTGGCAGCTTTTAAGTTGCTTATTTTAGAAAGCTCTCAATCAGTATTGTGGCATCAAAACATAAAACTCAGTGTGTGTAGAACTCCATTTTTTAGGTCTAGGACCAGGAGGAGAAAAGAGATGGCATATGCAAAGAATTTAACTGGAGAGCATGTGGTGATGCCTCTCACTACCAAAGGGTCCATAGAGGTAAAAACAGCAACAATAACAACCAAGGGTGGTGAAGGACCAGAGCTAGAAATACCTGAGAGCCTTTACTGCCCCCATGCCACAAAGGCAAGAGGCAGAAATAGTGTTCTAGATCCCGGGCGGGGTTCTAGATCCCAGGTGGGGTTCCAGATCCCAGGTGGGACCCTGAGCAGTGGGAGAGAGGCCTGATGTAGTGCATCATAGAGAGAGGCAGAGAGGGGGGCCTTTAAATTATTTGTGGTGCAAGTGACCAAACACCCCATTAACAGTAGCTGAAGGCATATGGGCATTTACTGCTCACTTAAATGTACAAGTAAGTGGTCTCAGGTTTGGTGAGGCAGCTTAAGGATGTCATCGAGATCTCAGGCTGTCCCTGGAATTCTGCTCCATCCTTAGTGTGTCGGCCTTTTGGCTTTATGACTGTCATTACATACTGGCCAAACGGCAGCTAAAAACCCAGCCCTCACATTCATGTTCAAGGCATGAAGATAAAGAGGGAGTGGTGTCTGCAAGCTCCTCTCTTACACCTGTCCATTTTGTTAAGGCACCTAAAGGTTTTCCAGAAGTCCTCAGCCAACTTCCACTTAGGTCCCTTTAGTCAGAACTCTGCCACCTGCCACCTCCAGTTGCAAAGGATTTTGGAAAGGAGAGCGTCAGACTAAAGGTGAATGGGATACCTTGACTGGGTTAGCCAAATCCTGGTATAGCCATGGGTGGGGCACTTTGCTGGCTGTTGGGTAGCCGCCCAATGGTGTCCGCCCACAGGAACTTCTTAGAAAAGCCTGAGGGAAAGAACACAGTGTCCTGATTGACTCCATAGACTCAACAGGTTGTAGATCACAGGCTCAAAGAAGGCAATGAATCAGCAAGGTAGAAGGGCACAGAATTGGCCGGATTCCTTTCCACTCTACTGTGAACGTGCTTTTGCTTTCTCGGGATTGATCTTTCTCAGATACCAATGGAAATCTCACCCTCCTTTTGTATCATTCAAAACCAGCCCTCGACATCTGTGCTCCCTGTCATTTGGCTCAGTGCTCAAGAAGGGGACATAATGGTCTAGTGACAAAGCACATCCTTGGAAGAGAAGTGGCCTGAGTGGCTGTCACTGAGATGCAAATAAGGCTTGAAATAGTAAGTCAGGAGGCTTGAGGGACCCTCGTCAGCGAAGGCTCCCAGGAAGCCCTTGAATGGCAGGAAGGGGAATTCTATGCGTGTGATAAGTTACTCTTCTTTTTTATTCATGTATCAAAGAAGGGAAAGGAAATTTCTAAAGGAAGAGACCAGCCAGAAATCACGAGAGGAAATGTGAGGGGAGCATGTGTGAGGGGAAAATGAGAAGTAGGAGATGCTGAGCTCAGCCTTGCTCCTCAAGCCACGGGTCCTCCTTGGCAGGCACCCCATCGGCAGTGACTCTGACCTGAGCCTGAGCCCCTTGAAGTCCTTGAGACTCTTGTTATTTCCAAGCGTGCCAGCCTCTTTAGTCAGCGGTGCACTTCAGTCCTAGGAGAAGAAACAAGGGCGAGTGGCTCGCACGCTCACGGTACAGCACCGGGTCTCCAGCAGCTCGCTGGGGCTGGCCAGTGGGAAGCATTGATTTCTCTCAAGCTGCTGTGGTTCTGGGGATGCAGGGTTCGGCTGCTACGGCAGCCTGGGTGTTCTGAGATGCAGACCTGGTAAGAGATTTACTGGGAGATTAGACGTGCAGGACGTATATTAGAGGAAATGCCTGTGAGGAGGAATGGCGAAGGAACCAAGGAGATCTGTCAGAGATAACATAGGTCTGACCCCTGTGAAGAAGAAAGAAACCACAGGGAGGAAGGAAAAGAGGGAGAGAGAGAAGGGACGGGTCATCTTAATTTATCGATACCACGTGTGTTCAAATGCAACCTCGCCTTTCAGATGAGTAGCCTTCTGACTCATAGACCGGTCCCTAGCAATGCAGATATGGAGTTTTAACAGTTGTTGTGGTTTTAAAAATCGTTTTCTCTGCCTATCTTCTCAGAAATAAGGAACACAAGCAAGAGAAGGAACATAATGTGCCTCTGTTATAACAGGCTGACATCGCAATTCTTCATTTCAAAGTTTATTAGTTTATTTTGGAGAACTATTTTGATTTAATATGGACCTTTCACCAGGACAAGGACTATTTTAATGATGTCATTTTCTTCTGCAGCAGGCAACTCTTACTATACAGGCAGATTTCTCAAGAAGGCAGAGCTATGCTTTTCACATTGTAGTGCCTTGAAACTCCAGTACGGGAATATTTCTCATACTAAATGCAATGCCATCATATCTAGTCTTCCTACCTCCAAAGTTGCTTATGGTGGAAAACTTGAAAAGATGCATGCCGGCCAGCCTCAGTCCACAGCTGGAGAGGCCATGCGCGTTATTTTAAAAGAACAAAAGTGATTGGTACTTACTCAACTTCTGTACTGGTTTTTGTAGCCCAAATAGTTCCATTTGGGACCAGAAATAAATCAACATTAATAGCTTATCTGCCGGAGAAACAGTGGACTGACAGAAAATCATCCAATTTAAGTATTTAAGTATTTATTTTCCAAAAAGGAAATATGGAACACGTACATACAGAGTTAGCTCTTCTGCCTCGACAATGAACAAATGTCTAGAAATCCCCTTAAAAGAAAGCTCTGAAGGCATCAGGATGGCTCTTCCATCATGTTAGCAATTTACAGAAACTCAAAAAAGGGGCATTTCACTTTGGGGAAATGACCTAAAGTTACAAGCATAATATTTCTCATAAATGTTCTGCCAGTAAGTCTGTTGGGAAAGCCATTTACTTTTGTTGTAGCTTTAACAATTTTCACATTAAGTGAATTGCCACACATGGAAGATTCATATTGGAACATTTACAACTGTTCTTTGATTCCTTTACAAGACACAGCCCCCTAGATAAAGATAAAACTCTTTTCTAGCGTTTTGATTTTGGGAAATGCAAACAACAACAACAACAAAAGTCCCTTGGCTAGAGGCCAAGAGTGTGGAGTGCCATGGCTTTAACCTCGTGCAGGGCAGGTGGCGAGTCGGGCAGTTTAGCTGATGGGAAGGGTGATGGGGAATGGGAGGACCAGACTGAGGACTGCATTTGCTCACTGCCGGGGTCTGGTTTCTGAACCAGGACATCTCTGAGGTGGTGACATTTTTGCTCAAATAGTTTGCTGGTATTAACTTACTGGTGGTGGTGGTTTATTTTTTTTTAGGTTTTTAAAAGTATTTTGAAACTTTTGGCTGTGCAAAGGAATGTCAGCTCAAGCCATTTGATTGAATGAAGATTTAGGAAGCTGTTTGTCCTTCCTGGATCAAATTAGAACTACACTTGCTCTAAGATTGAGGTCTGCACCTTCCGGGGGTGGTTTCCCTTTGACTCCAGGGTTTGAGCCTCACAAACAGTGTCGTCTGTAAAGGTGCCCGGTCAGAAAGCCTCCATCTACCCAGCATCGATGTGGGATTGGGATCTAGAACTTCTTCAAACCAAGCCTCATTTACTCAAAAATGCAGGGAATCACTTCCAAATTGCTCTTCCTAATGAGAAGTTATTGCCTTTTCTAGTTCTTTCAGGTAGAGCTGTATCAACGTCAAAATAAGTGTATACTATTATCTATGACTGTGACCCTGCAGTCATCTCACTCTGATGCTTACCTAGCCATCCTCCAGGTTCCACTTCAAGTCCTGATTTATCCATGTGGGTCTCCCAGGCCGGCTAGTCGTGCTGTGTTAATGCTGACTCAGCACTCCTGCTGCTTCACTGTGTGTGGGTTCCTATCTGGCTTCTGCAGTGGAGCTGTAATCGACTTGAGCTTGGGGATTTACCTTATACTTTTACTGCTCACCTCTTCTATTAGAATCCTTCAATAGAATCCTTACCTCTTCTATTGTTTAATCTGTGTTTGATAACTGATTAAACTCATAATAGCCACTTGATAATTGTTTTTAAGAAATAAACAAACTGTGTGGCTCAGTGGTTGAGCATCAACCTATGAACCAAAAGATCACAGTTTGATTCCTGGTCAGGGCATATGCACAAGTTGTGGGCTCTGTCCCCAGTGGGGGGCGTGCAGGAGGCAGCCGAGCGATGATTCTTTCTCGTCATTGATGTTTCTATCTCTCCCTCTCCCTTCCTCTCTGAAATCAATAAAAATATATTTTTTTAAAAAGAAATGAACAAACCAAGTCTTTCTTGGTAACACTGTGTACCAGGCACCAATGTGGAAAGCTATGGAATTTGTAGAGCATCATTTCAAAAACAGGAAATATCACTTGTAAATTATTTTAGGTCTCTGATTTTAACATTATCTTGAAGACATAAAATTGCCTTAAAAACAGCTACTTGAAATTGGGGGGAGGGAGAATGGAAATGAGTGAATGCATGAGTGAATGATGTACCTAAATGCCAAAACGTGGAAAAGACTTTTCAAACAGTTAACTGAATCTGTCTTTCTTCTCTAATAGTCTCCCCTGGAGATGGAAGTGGGGGAAAACTGGGGATTTATAACCAGCAAATATTCCTGATTCTTGGCTTATTAAAGTTAGGGACATTGGGGATATTTGGTTGGAAAATAAATTGGCATTGCAGAGTGTAAATGGTTCAGCCAAGTGCAAATTTTATAGGCCAAATAGAATTTTCGCAAGTCTAATGACTTTTGAAAAGTACTTGTACCCTGGCTCAGAGGACTTTTGCTGTCTGTTGTAAGCAGTCAGTAAGCTGTGTTTGGGAGCTGGACCAAATGCTGGCCTTTCATTCCTCAAATTACAACTCCGTGATCCGGGCTCAGAAGTCCCTCCATGCACAATTTAGAAATTAGCAGCATAAACGTAGGACCAGAGTGTGACTGTGCCCTGTTCCCTCCAGAAGAAAAATGTGAACTCGTTTCCCACTGGGGACGTCTCTTGGTTACCACATCCCAGATGTTGTGACAGCTTTCATCCAAGGTTTGCAGAACAGAGAGAACCCCCGTTTAAAAGCTTAGTTTTCATTACTCATTTGGAAGGTATTTTTCTGGGTCCATGAGAAATGCAAGGATCATTATGCCGGGTTTTTTAAAAGTGGGAAAGGAAAAAAGAGAGGAAAAGCCACCCGGAGAAGTGCTTCTCAAACTGAAAGGTGTATGTAAACCCCCTGGGCGCAGGTGGCTCTTCTTCTGATGGCCTGGGGTGGGGCCTGAGCATCTGCATTTCGAAAGCCCCCAGAGATGCTAAAGCCGCTGGCCAACAGACCATACTGCTTGGAGGAGCCAGCTCTATAGAGAATGTTCTTTTGCACGGAATACAAATTGCTACTCCATTCTAGGTCACAGTTCTAAGGAAATGATGACTAAGAAATGCTGTCTTTCAACACTTCTGAGTCATTTGGTAGGAATGGGAGGTGAACACGAGCCACTTAACATCTCAGAGTCGCTGGAGCATTGATTGTTGCGTTCACTTGTGTTTTCTTCCCAAAGGGAGCCAAGTAGCTTATCCCCTTGGCTCCAGGGGATTGGCAGGTCTAGGACTGGACTTCTCTCCCTCAGTTTGTTTATAGATATTGGGGAGGGAGGTGAGCATCTTTGGAGTTAAGGACAGTTGGGACTTAAGGAGAAGAAAGACAATGGATATTTTGTCCAGGGTAGATGTTTATCTCTGTGTAAGAACTCCAAAGACCCTCCCACAACCCAAAGAAAGGAAATAGCTCTATTTCCTACAGAAACAGCTGAAATTGAATACCCCACCAACTTGGGGTGGGAGGCTCAACCTCAGACGAAAATCAATTTTAGAGAAGTGCAATTATGGGGCATTTTCTGCAGCCCGAATGATGCCTTTGCAGAAAATTCATACCTGCTTCACATGAAATCTGCACCTGGGAAGTTTGTAAGAATATGTTCTTAAGGTTTTTAAACTGCACAGCAAAAGAAGGCTAACAAGAAAATAAGAATATTTTTGTGCACACACACTGAGGTGCAGCTGTTAACTGAGAAATGAGTAAAGGAGGTATAAGTAGCCCACCAAGTAAACACGAACCTTTCATTGTTAGTAACATGCATTGATACATAATGCTGTCATTTCTGACATTTACTTAGGTCAGCAATTTTCAATCTTTTTCATCTCATGGCACACATAAACTACTCAAATTCTGCAGCACATCAAAAAAATTTTATATTTTTTGCTGATTTTACAAAAAAAATAGGTATAATTTTGATTGATTTGCAATAATAATAATAATAGAGATTACCTACCCTTTTGTTCCAAAGTGACTTTTTAAAAAATCAGGTGCCTATTCTTATATACAAGGATTTCTGGTACCAAGAATTAACCGATCAGTCACAACCTTCTTATGAGATGTGACCAATAAGATGCAACCCTATTCTATAACCTAGATATTTATGGTTCAAGACAGGGCATTCACACCAGATGGCTATTGTTATGTTGGCTGTTGTCATTTTTTTATTTGACAATCTACGGGAAAAGAGGTCAGTGCCCCTGACTCAATAGTCAGGTATTGCATAATGTAAAAATTCTTGCAGCACACTGGTTGAAATCACCTACTTGGGTTAATGCATTCATTGCCTATTCCCCAGAAACTGTTACTGGGTTCTGTAGGTGAAGCTTTAACTGACTAAGATTCGGGTTATCTTCCAAATTCATTTCGTAGTTTTTTCATCATCATAATCTCATCTCTTTGCTCACTAAACATACTGGATTTCTTTTAAAAAGTCACCAGACAGATACTGTTGTGGGCACTTTTAACCAGATTGGTCCTCTTGGGACAGGGTAGCCAGAGAGCATCCGGCTGTGCCTTGGGGATTCTGAGCGATGTTTCCTCAGGGCTTTCAGTCCTGCTCGATACTTAGCAGTTGTAGTATGTTATCAATCATTATTTACCGATTTAATGAGTAAGTAGGAATAGTTCTTTTTCTTAATTCTTTATTGTTTAAAGTATTACACTTAGTATTACATATGTCTCCTTTTTTCCCCATTGACCTTTCCCCAGCCACCCCCACCACTACCCCCAGCACATGCCCTCACCCCCCTAGTGTCTGTGTCCATTGGTTATGCTCATGTGCATGCATACAAGTCCTTTGGTTGATCTCTTACCCCCCTCCCCTGCTTTCCCTCTAAAGCTTGACGGTCTTTCGATGCTTCGATGTCTCTGGCTCTATTTTGTTCATCAGTTGTTCATTAGGAACAGTTCCTTATTCTGCCGTCATAAGTGCCTCATAAATTTTCAGGTATCAGTAAAGATAGCCTGAGATATTATAATTTCAATCAAATATTTTATTTTTTCATTTTTAACCTTTTGCCAGAGGCTTTTTGGTCCGTGGTTTCTGCCAAGAGGAAGTGAGTAAATGCTGCCAGGTGGCCAGATGCGGGCCATCTGCTTGCTCTTCCATCAGCGCAGCCCTACGCTCACATGTCCAGACCCAGTCTTTCAGATCAGAACCAGGTTATTCTGTTCAGTGACAGCGTCTGGGGTTTTCTGGACCCTCTGCACGTGGCCTGGAAGGAACTCCAACTGCAGGGGCGGGGGGAGGGGGGGGCGGGGGGGGGCGGGGGCGGGGCTCTGACGCAGCCCACTTGGCAGCAAGGTGGGGAACATCTCATAGAAATGTTTACTATGTTATTTTTATTTCTCAAGTTAAAACTGTTCAAAGCAAACATTTGTGTTCATTTTGGGGCCCCGCTGGGTGTGAAGTTCCAGCTGATGCAATGTTAGGATCTCCTGTGTGTCTTATCACTGAATGGTCGTGAGGTGAGGGTGGTTCTGAAGAGGTGGTCGCCAGCCACGGCAGGGCGGGAGCGAGGGGCACGGGCCTGGAAGACTTGGCGGGATGATGCAAAAGGAAACTTTCCCATCGAAGTCAAGTCATGTGGCGAAAGCCTTATTTTGTCAAGGTCTTCGAACAAGCAGGAACCATAGAGAATAATGGGTATGAGCTCAGTGTTCTCGGAGGTCATTCCCGGGCCACTGCAAGAGCCCCGTGGATTTGCTAACCCCTCAGGCACGCAGCTGAAGAGCCCGGCTTCCTGACACAGCCCTTTTGTCCCGCCATGC